TAATGAGTTTTTTGGGTTCATTGAGAACATGGTTGTTGTTCAATAATAAAATTATTCCTCAAAAATACAACTTGCCTAATAATTCTGCACTCCCTGTACTAACAGCTCTTTTAATAACCTGGTCGCAAAATAAAACTATTATTTCAGATTTGTATAAGTTAAAAAAAGAAATTTGGCTGACTTAAACAAGTAGTTTCAGTCTGCTTAGTTAGATTAAACCAATGTATTTTCATCGTAGTACATCAGATACTGTTGTTCTGTCAGATACTGCTGGCCTCACAGAAATACACATTAGTGGTGCTTTAGGATGGGTGTTCAGTGCACTGGTTAACAATCCAGCTGCTAAAGAGTGATAAAATCTACAAGTTTCTCAGCTCTGAGACATGTCCTGCTTTGTTTTGCCTTGTTATCACTCCATTACTGGTTTCTTTTGTAACTCACATTTTATTGTGCTTTCACCCGCTGATTCCATTTCAGTTTAATACTTGCTGGGTAAGGTTTAGGACCCAAAACTACTAAAACATAGAGTTATTCTGCTCCTTAATAAAATGAATCCTTCACCCTGAAAAAACAATAGTCGAGGGTTTTTTTTTTAACAGGCATCCACGTGTGATTGGAACAGAGACTTTTCTTATCTTTGGTGTAACCAGGTGGACTTGGCACTGAAGCCAGTGGTTACCTTGTGAAGAGAAAATGCCAGTAATGCCGACCAAAGTAAAGTGAGCTGAATAAGCACATCTTTACTGGCTTTATTTAAAGTTATATAAATAATAAGCATTGATTTGTATTTATGGTTCAAAAGATAACTTTAAGCCCTTTAAGTATTTATTCTGTTTTTTAGCTCTGCCTTCTTCTCAGTCAGCTCCTGAGAAATATGTTGATATTTGCTGCAAGTCCAACAGCTACACTCTAACTTAGGTTCTCTGATGATGGGTATTTTTGAAAATGTGCTAATTCTCTGTAGGCACACCACAAATAATCTGTGTTCCAGTCAAAAGATGACGCTTGCTTACGTGAATGCCGCCTTGCCCTCCTCGATGTCCTTGCTCTTTGCGCCTGGGCCAGCTTTCCCACAGAAGTTAACAGCAATGCACATGAGGAGCCCGCACTTGTTGAGGAAATAGCAGGTGACATCCACGCCCACCAGCAGCAGGAAAAAGACAACAATAAGGATGCCTACGATGGCCCCGGTGCCCATGCCTGAGCCACCACCCATGGCGTCTGAAGGGACAAAGACAGGTAGAGGGGATATACAAGCAAAACAGGCAGAAGAGGAGAAGAGGGTTCAAATATAGAGAAGAGGGGATGGGAAGGAAGTTAGAAAGAGAGAGGGAGAGAGAGATGATGAGGAATGCAATCAGGCTTTTAATACAGTGCTTCAGGTTTCAGTCAAAACCTCAGATGTGTGTCGCTCTTTTCAGAGGAAAGCTGAAATGGTGCAAGAGGGACCAACATAATTTCTAACAACTTTATATCTGTTCTTGACATCCCCGGTGGCCGAAACACTATGTTCAATTTCATACAGAATCACAGAAATTGCAAAGACAAAAACAAAACAAAACAAATGCAAACAAACAAAACTATCGGTAGCCTTTTGAGGGCTTCTAGGCATATTCTTGTTCTTGTCACTAGGCGTTTCATAATAGGCTTGTAACACATTTATAGACATTTGTGGACTGACTATTAATATTTGTGCCTGAGGTGTCAATATGGCACCATTAAATATAAATATAAATGCAATACACTACATTGCATACATATTTTACAATAAGAAAAAATGCCTCGAAAACTGCATGAGGAGCAAATAAATTGCAATGACAGTCTACTAGGATATATTACAACACAGGAAAACAATGTTGTAGCAGAATATTCTACGTGTACTCATAGTTTTAGCAATTCACATTTTTTTAAACACCCGCCCAATCATTTTACCAGTTTCAATCAAACTTTCTTTGGAAATGTGAAGGTTATGAAGGGTTACCTGAGCAGCATGTGTGAGCAGCCAACACATTTCTAATTCAGCTCTGAAGACAGAGTACAAATACAAGTCATTTTCTCCTACAGATTATTTGAATAAACAAACGCACATGCAGATTATAGAGAGAATGGTATAAAGATGGATTTTGGAGGTCAAGGCCAGCTTAGACAGCCACATTTACTACCTTTTTTATCATTGTGTGCAACCTGCTGCAAAAAGCATGGAGCATGCATTGTTGTAGTGACCTCAGTCTGTGAATTAGCGCATCACACCTTTTATTAATGCTTAATTAATAATTAACAAATTGATTGACATTTTATGTAAATTGCAATTGTTTCAGAGATTCAACTTAGAGCCACAGAATTCATGCCAGTGCAACTTCACTGCACACTATGACTTACTGGATTTCAACGTTCTTCTGGAAGAAAAAATAGATCTGATTGATAACAGCAACAGAATACTGGAGAAACTGTATAATTGTTAAGAAAAGAATAAACTGTAATGCTTTGGATAAATAAAAGAATAAAGAATAAAAGGGATTCACTACTCCACTGAAAAAATGTGGATAAGTTAAACTAACAGAAAAAAACAGAAAAGACAAAATAATAATTAAAAAAACCCCCCACATATTTCCTTGACTGAGGTAATCACAGTAAGCAGGATTCGTGGTAACCAAGTATAACAAGATTTCTTGTAATAGTCAGTGGACACTTAAAGACATAAAGACAGGCCTTCCTCAACTCGCATTTGGCTTCTTACTGAGACTGTGAGAAACAAAAAGCAATCTCCGCTTGTTCATCCAATGAACTTAATGTTGTTCAACGGAAACACAACATTCAGGTGTATCCGAGCTCAGACCTATTTCTACTTTATCATCAGAAAGGTGTGGTATTTAGCATTTTTGCAGCCCACTTCTAGTCTTATGGGTCAGTCACACATTGGAGTGAGCTGTAAGGGAGCTTGGTGTTGCAAAACACTTGTAGTTGCCCAGTGATTCTGAGACAGGTCACCTGGCTGGTCTGGCCTGGAGTGTCTGCAGTCACTCTCAGACAGACCAGGAAAAATTTGCAAATAACCGCAGTCTAATTTATAAATGCAGACAGATTACAAACATGTTGTACTTAATCTGAGTCAGTTTGCTCCAGTGAATGAACCTCGTCTCCCATGTGTCTGTTAGCAGTAGGAGACTCGACTCAGCTGGTTGTATTCTGGTTCTATTCCTAAAGCAAGGCTGCGAGCACCTACACAGCTACATCACTATTTGTTCAGACGTTTCTGAACTTGTGTTTCAAATCTCTATCGTCTTAGCTTGACTTTGAATCTAAGTAGTTCGTTTGAAATTATGTTAAATTAAATTTCTGTTCACGCAGATCATTTTTGCTGACTTGTTAAAAATATAATTACTGTGTTATGACAGCTTGCATGTAATTGCCAACTTGACCCCACTGACAAACCTGATAACAGACTCACTCCATCTTATTGCCATTTTAAAGTTGTCACGACGCACTAAAGCTACTGTGAAGATGACAGCTGACTGTGAGCGGTCGCAGACCCCGTCCTCCGTCCTTGAAGCAACGATTTCAAAGGCAACAAAATCACAAATTCCTTGCACACAGTCTCCAGCCACGGTTTTCCCCAGGGTGACTTTAGCCTTACTGACCACTACAAGTGACATTCACCCATTCACACCAAAGTTTAGTGAAAGCCTCACAACCATACCTGAGGCAAATTTCAAATGAACAACCTCTGGACTGGAGAACCTGGAAAAAAATCTGATAACATCAGAACATCCTGTATTGGCTCCATGTATTAACACAATGTTTCCCAATCAAGGCTTGCATTTAATATGAAGATGATTTAAAACCAAAGCTGAAAAGATGTTTGTTTGTGTTCAGCGTGTAAAGTCAGAATTATAGTTCCAACCCTGTTATGTTTGTTATTATGGTATCTACCGTGCCAGTAGGCAATCAAATTGGAAGACCTTCAGTTAAATTAAAGCCTCTCTTACATGTATCAATTTGGCTCTGCTTCAGGCAGTAAAGACTGCTGTAATGGCTCGCCAGGGTCTGATAAGGATCAAGGGCTCATCAAAGTGTCTGAGGAGAATGTGAGCGCTGTGCAATTTGAGGACCATCTTTATGTTAACTGTTTATACCCTCAGCCTTGGATATGGGAAAAAGGGAAAGGATCAGCCAGTGACAAATATGTTCTGCAGTCGTGATTCACTGGAACTACGGAACGAACCCCTATTTATAATGGCCTCTGCACAGCCTGCAGCGTATTCTAAAAGCTTAAAGTATAAATAAATGACAGCAGCGTTACCACTGTAGGGAAGCACTGTGAGCTGCACTTTCAGTTTTCTGCCCATTTTGTGGTTTCACACATTCCCTACTCTTTAGATAAAAGGCCAAATATAGATAATGTACTGCCACATCAGTATACACTAGTTACTCCAGCAAAACAGACTTTGAGCTGAAGTAACCACAACGAACGTGACGATTTAGTGTCACTTCCATTAAATCCATGTGCACTGGTGTCTAAAACTGTCATTTTGTACAGCTGAGTAATCACATGGGTGGGGGATATATATATATATATATATGAAGGGAAGCCAATGTCTTTTTCAAATGGAGCAAAGCAGTAACTGCCACACTGAAGTATCATACTTAAATGTGTGTGACAGGTAAAGAGCGAGCAGAACTGTTAACACGCTCTTTACAAAAATTCACTGGATCTTAGACCACATATAAGTCATTTGGGGTAACCAATTTACTCGTATGCAACCCTGCATACGAGTAACTGCCATGCTAATCTTTGACTGTTAACATACAGCTTTACTTTATGAGATGTCATAGTATGACATCACACTTTCTGCCAGTGATTTAAATTGCCCACAGAGTGATGAACGCTCATAACGAAGATGAAACCTCATTGGGCCAGTTTATGCCACTAATATGTCAAATGTAAGTATTTTATAAAAGCACCGTGTAAATGTGCCATTAAAAGGAGACTGAAACACATAAATTAGACCAAATGAAAGCTCCAATTCTCTTGGCCTTTGAAGTAGAAACAATTGTTGACACACATAACACTCTTTAAATGCTGACGGGAGCACACCCCATGGACAGCTATGCTGCAGACTTTGCAGGAAAAAAACATTTTATGCCTCTTAAAGATGTTATGTTTGTGCTTACTGCACTCTGATGCATTCACAAGTGAAAGCACTGCCCTGGGCCAACTGAGACGTTTAATTCAAATCCACTATCTTCCTCTTTCTGGCTGGCCCGGTATGTAAACCTTCAATTTCTTTGATGGTTGTGATGAAAATAGCAAGAACATGCCAGAGTTCTGCGTACTTATAGGTGACTACAGTGGTGCAGAAAACACTTGTTTTTTTCTCTGCCCATTGCTTCATTTGCATTTTAACAGGCACAATAAATCATGTGCCATGTATTCAGTGCTGAGGGGGGGTTTCTTACCGAGTGCTCTCACTGAGGGAGAAAGCACAAATCTACCTGTCAGGGTGGACTACACAAACATTTCTCTTTACGGGCTTGTCGGGTACAGTACTGAGACAGGTTTCCAGACGACTGCTGATAAACAGACCGTATGTGATAAAATATTTCACTACACACATTTCTGAGAAATCAATAAGACTGCCAGATATGTGCAGTTGTACCCTGATGAAACACCTTTATATCAGGAGTTAGATTTGAGTCCAACCGTGCAACTCTGCCCGTGGGTTGCAGTGTCTTTAAAAACTTGTGCTGTAAAACACGCAGAAATGCAATAAAAAAAATCTTCCAGCACTTGCTTTACATTTGATGGATTGGTTCAGCCATAAGTAAAACAGCCAAGTCTAAATAAAAAAAAAAATTAATTTTAGAGTAGAAATACAGTTTAAGACATTCTAACAACATTTATTTCACCAGAGGGCCCACATAATAGTCTCAGAACAGTTTGTGTTTGAGATTCAGTGGAATGCTGAACATTGCAGTGATTCAAATAACCATATGCATGCAACAGACTGTAGAAAAGCAAACACAGAGTCCCCCTCATCTGTAAAGGAAGAAGCCCAGTTGAGGACAAATTTGTTTATACTGTAGACGGGGAATACAGACTGTCTGACTGAGGTGTAAAAATGTGTAAGCTGTCACCGTTTTTCAACCAGCACTACAACTGTATGTAACAACTGTCATTACAATTGTTCATACAACACCATCACAGACTCCCCATGACTCTT